GAAACCGAGGCCATGGGGGGAGTGGTGGGGAGGGAGCGGGGAAGAGGGACTGAAACCAGCAGAGGATGGAGCTGGGACTAGAATCCTAGACGTGGGCCTCCCAGGGGCCCAGCTTCACCGCCCCAGATATTAGTTAGGGGGTCGTTTGCCTGGCGTTTGTATATATCTGCCCAGGTGAGGGGGCGGTGATGAGGACCCAGGCCCTGGGGTTTCATTGCAGCAAGTTCTGACGAACCCTCACCCCCTTCTCCGGCTGGTGGCGAGCGGCCGCTCCGCTCTCTCACCGCGGTCAGAGCCAGCCCCGCCGTGGGACCGCCTCCGACTCCTCCGCCGCTGCAGCCGCCTTCCGCGCGGGGCTCCACCCTGCTTCCCTACTGACCGCCACGCGGGACCTGAGCGGGCCGGGGGGCGGGGCTCGGGGGACGGACAGGGCGAGGCTGGAGCTGGCGCCGGCCAGAGAGGAGAGAGGAGTGACTGTCCGGTAGGGCCTCCGGGGGCGGGTCTGGGGGTGTGTGTGTGTGTGCCCTGTGGGCGGGACCTCCGTGACGGACAGGGAGGGGGCGCGGCCGGGGCGTTAGGCGGCGAGCAGGATGACAGCTGGGCACGGCAAGGGAGTGGAGGCCGTCGCCGTGCGGGAGGCCAGAGAGGACTGAGAGAGCAGGGCTGAGGCCAGGGCAAGGGTTTAGCGTGGCTGGTGAAGCAGGGCCGGACGCACTGACAGGGCCCAGGCGGCCCGCGGCTGAGGGATGGAGGAGGAGCTTGTCACGGTAGGGGCGAGGCCAGCGACCCGGTAAGCCCGGAAGGCCCGCCCGGCTGGGCGGGGCCGGCAATGACTGACAGGACAGGGTCGGGCGGGAGATGGCGGCGCGCTGAGCCGCCAGGTGGAGCCCAGCAGGAAGGGGGCACAAAGATTGTCCGAGGGTCTGGGTAGGGATGACCCGCAGCTCGAGGTCGGGAAAAGAGGGAGGAGACGCGGGACGTAGGTGGCGTAGTATGAGTGACAAGGCAGGTGGCGAGTAAGAAGGGTAAGAAGGACCGCTTGTGGGCGGGGCGGGAGGACTGACGCCTCTGGGGCGGGGCTAAGGGGCCTTGAGTGACAGGCAGAGGGGTCCGCCCCAAACATTTCTCCGGCAGCTCGGCAAAAAATTCCCCTTCCGCTGAACGCGGCGAGCTTCGCGCATTTCGTGTGCCAGGTGGGGGACCAGCCGCCGTTGCTGCCTGGCTGCCACCAGCCGGACCCCACCCTCAGCCCCGCCGCCTCCTCAGGGGGCTTCGGCCCTGGGGCGGGAGCGGTGCAGAGAGGTCAGACCCGCCTGAAGGAGGTTTCCTCCGCCTGCCAGGCCAACGGTCCCTTCCCGTCCCAGCGAAATCCACCCAAGGCGTCGTTCCCAGGGCCGAGATACCCGCCACTAGAGGCCTTCTCCGTGGCAGCCCTGGTTCAGCGTTGGTTATGACCCGGCCCGCCTGCCCACAGTTGCGGAAGCGCTGTCTGGACTGGCCCCTGGAGCTGTGGGTCTTCGCGTGACGTTCTCCGAGCCTGCGCCGCAGCCTGGGCATCGTCATGCTGGCGCAGCTCGTCTCCCCGCAGGCCTCAAGGTTGGGGAATCTCAGGCCCTTGCACTTAGCCCGCCTTCCTGCGGGAGACCTGCATAGGCCTCGCCCTCCAATCCTGACCATGCCTTCTCTGTTCACCCACCCGCCCAACTAGCCCCAACCGCTTTGTGCCTCCGTTTCCCTGCCGTTCCCGGGCCCAGTTCTTACACTGCAGTCCCCGCCCCTAAGGATAAGTGTCGCTCACCCTCGCTTTCCCCCGCCCCTCTGTCCTAGACTCGGCCTATCCTACCTCTCTGGCCCCGCCCCTCCTGTCCCAGACCTCCCCTTATTCAACAGGCTCCTGGGGCTCCTGAGAGGTGAGGGTAGGGGTCCCCGACGTTTTGTCCCACACCTTTTCTACGTTCGCCTTCGGGTCCTGCGTGAGGCCTAGGTCTTCCTCAGTATTCCCTCTGGGTTGGGGGCCCGGAGGTGGGTCCTGTCCGAAGCCTGAATAGGCTGGGGGGAAGTGGGGGTCGGGGGTCCTACCAGCAGGATGCTGAGGCCGTGGCTCAGGTCTTTGTCTTGGCAGAATCTCCGGGCCTCCCTGGATCTGATAAAATGAGTGAGAGCCGCCCCTTTCTATAGCCTCCCACTGAAGGGTCAGAGCAGCAGGGCCAGCGGGAAAGGGGCAGATTCCTCTCACCTCCCATCCCTGCTGTTAATGCAGCCTCAACCTGCATTTCCATGTAGGGTCCATCGCAGTAGCTAGCCTGTAGTGTACCATTGGGAGCCCCTCCCTTCTAGTGCCCTCCAAGGTTCCCAGGGGAGACTCCTGCTCCTCAGCCAGGGCTCCCTGAGTGACCTCCCTTATGAGGGAGCCTGACTATTCCCAGGTTCCGGACCATTGCCCTGCAGGCGGTTGTGCTGCCCTATATCCATCTTGAGCCGCCTGAGGCCTGCCTCCATCTCCTCATCCTCAGCCCTGGGACCGCCTTCTCCTACAGATGTTCCTCATCATAGCATCACCCAGCATCTGGGGCCTAGAGTTCCGACAGAAGCGGGGGATGGGGGGAGCGGGCAGGGCAGAACAGAGGGTCACATTCCCCAAATGCCTTTTCGTGCAAAGCCCTCTGAGGGATGGGGAAACTGAGGCCCAGAAATGGTGCAGCTTGGCCACCAGCATAGCAGCATCAGAGCCTACACATCAGCCACTCACTCCAGTGCAGCCAATGCTAGCCTACACCCTGGAAAGGTCTGACAAGACTTACGGCGTGCTGTCCCCAGGTTGCCTGAAGGATGGTCTTCCTTTGTCCTTGGTCCATAGGGCTACTCTTCAGGACACCCCGGTTAGCATCCAAGAGGTAAGGTGGATCCCCTTGGGGGGTCTCTCAACTCGAAATTCCCTGGGTCATGGGGAAGAGGGAGGAGCAGCTCCCAGGAGTAACCATGGCCAGTCCTGGGAGCTGAGGGTTTCATGTCATGGAGAGCCAGGAGCCTCCCACACTGCCTTCCCATGGCTTTGTGCCTGTTGCTGCTGAAGTTCAGAATGGAGACGCACATCCTGCCCAGCCTAGGGTCTCCCTAGCACCTTCCCTGAGTCCCTGCCCTTCTAGGCTCATCTTCCCCCTGGGGATTAAGCCCCTCCATCCAGACACTGGCTAGAGTGGGTCCCTGTAGCCAGTGAGGCCACAGGGACCCTGATGGACAGGTAGGCACTGACCCATCTTGTAGGCCCAGAGCTGGCAGACATAGAAACCTCTGGACCCAGGCCACAGAAGGGACCCACAGCCTTCACTCATCAGTCCACCATTAGTATTCTAACAATCCCACAACACATTTCCTGAACTCATGCTCTGTTCCATTTTACCATATCACTTCCATACTTACCTCTGGTGGCCTCCCATCTTTAAAATAAAATCTAAGGGGGGTGCCTGGGTGGCTCAGTTGGTTAAGCAACTGCCTTCAGCTCAGGTCATGATCCTGGAATCCCGGGATCGAGTCCCACATCAGGCTCCCTGCTCGGCAGGGAGTCTGCTTCTCCCTCTGACCCTCCCCCCTCTCATGTACTCTCTATCTCTCATTCTCTCTCTCTCAAATAAATAAACAAAATCTTTTAAAAAAATAAAATAAAATCTAAGGGGCATCTGGGTGGCTCAGTTGGTTAAGTGTCTGCCTTCAGCTCAGGTCATGATCCTGGGGTCCTGAGATTGAGTCCCACGGTGGGCTCCTTGTTCCGCGGGGAGCCTGCTGCTCCCTCTGCCTGCCTCTCCCCCTGCTCTGACAAATAAATAAATAAAATCCTTTAAAATAAAATTATAAAATAAAATCTAGGATCCATACCATGGCCTATGAGGTCTAGCCCCTCTCCAACCCTTTTCTTTGCCTATCACACTCAGGCCAAGATGGCCTCTCTCTGTTCTTTGAAAACACCTGTGTTTTTCTGCCTCTGGGCCTTTGCATAGGCCTTTCTCACTGCTTGGAACTGGATTGTGAGCCCTAAAAGTTCAGGGACTGTTTTTAGTTTTGTTTGGCTCTATATCCCCAAGCACTTAACTTGGTAAACAACAGACACTCAAAATGCCAGTAATAAGTCTTAATAAATAAATCTTGGGTTAATGTGCCTGATGCTATTCTGTTGACTTATTTAATCTTTACAACAGCTATGTCAGGTAGGTACTATCATTAGCTCCCTTTTCTAGAAAATAAAACAGGAGCTCAGAAGTTAGGCCATTTGGGACGCCTGGGTGGCTCAGTCGGTTAAACCTCTGCCTTTGGCTCAGGTCATGATCCCAGGGTTCTGGGATCCAGTCCGGCATCAGGCTCCCTGCTCAGCGGGGAGCCTGCTTCTCCCTCTGCCTGAAGCTCTCCCTGCTTGTGCTCTCCCTCTCTCTCTGACAAATAAATAAAATCCTATAAAAAGAAGAAGAAGAAGGAGAAGGAGAAAGAAGAAGAAGAAGAAGAAGTTAGGCCATTTGTTGAGGGCCACACAGCTAAGATTTGAACACCAGAGGGAGGCTTTTTTCACCTCCTCTGGGTATATGGAGGCATGGGAGCAAGGTGATACACTACAGACCAGCTCCCAGGTTCTAGATGCTTGTGGGCTTCCTGAAGCAGGAGGTGTTGAGCCTGGGCTGGAAAGTTGGCCACACTTGGGTCTGCAAAGTCCCTAAGAGAGCATTCCAAGCGCAAAGAACAGCAATGAACAAAGGTGTGGAGGCAGGATGATCCCGCTCCTCGGACTACCAGACTCAGGGCTGGGCCGGCCCAGGACACACCGCCAGCAAAGTCCCAGGCGCTGTCGGCTGGGGGTCTCTAGAGACAGGACGCCCGTGGGCGGAGAAATTGAGGCGGAGAGTGCCCCTCCCCAGGCTGGGGGCCGGGGCGCCGCTCCCAGGGCGGGCCGAGGCAGGACGTTCCCACGGAGGGGTTGGCCTTGGGGAAAGCTGTGGGGCGGGCCCGGGGGCGGGCGCCCCGCGCTCTGGTCCCTCTGCGGCCCATTCTCCGTTACTCGCTCTGCAGACCCAAGTCGCCCTCGGCGCTGAGCCGCGAGGTGAGTGAGTGGGTGGGAGAGCCTGGCGGCCCGAGCCCGGCGGGTGAGGGATGCGGCTTGGACCCGAACTTTCGTCACCTGTCGGTCAGGGCCGGTGTGGTTCCTGCCATCGAGGAGGATCGGGGCGGGGGGGGGCTTCGGGAAGTTCAGAGTCGAGGACTCCTCCGGGAATTATCCTTTGTCCGCATGTGGGGCGCCATCTCTTTCCCCAAATGTAGATTACTCTTTCCCTCTCTCTGTATGTGGAGCTACTTATCACTGACAGGGAGCCCTTCCTTCCTAGATGTGCCCCCCACATATGGTACAGCCCCTCCTCTCTAGTTATCGGGTGCCTCTCTCTTTCCCCAGATGTGGGGGGCCCCTTTTCTTTCCAGAAGTGGGATACTCCCTCTCCCCAGATGTGTGCTCCTCTTCCTCCTTCTGACCCAGTTTGGTCCTTATCCTTTAAATCATCTCCCCACCCCCCACCCCCAAACCCCCTGGGATGCCAAACCCTGAGACTTCCCTAGGGGGGGTTGGGAGTTGGGCTCAGCCTGTCCCCTCGCCCCACCAGATTCAGCAGAGCAGGCTCTGTGAGCACGTAGGCAGCCAATTAGCAGGGAAGGGGTGGGGGCCAGACCAGCTGTGCAGAGACCTTGGCAGATGGCCCTGTGAGGAAGAGAGGTAGCACTGGGACCTGCTCCCTCCCTACCTGGACTCCCACCCAGTTTCCTCTGGGAGGGGGAGCAAACAGCTGAGGGAGGATTCCCAGCTTGGCCTGGATGAGCTGGGGCTGGAACCAGAACCCAGGCTCCCAGCCCCAAACTGTTGAGACCCTGCCTCAGGAGTTAGGCCTCCTCCCACTTCTCAGAAGGTTAATTGAGGTTCCAGGAGGGGGGCTCCAAATGTCTAGGACCCCCATCCACCTCTATCAGGATAGCAGGCAAAAGTAGAAGGGTCAGGGGCATGAGGGTGACTTTGAAATTCCGGGATGCCCCCCACCATAGCACCTGCGGAAAAGTTTCTCTGTCTGGGCTCCGTGGATAGGGGCAGAGGGCAACGTGGGGCAGAACTCACACACACACACACACACACATGCACAGATGTTCTTCAGAGCTGCCTGGAGCTTGGTACTGAAGAAAGCAGGACCCGGGATGCGGCGGATGCACAGCCCAGGAAGCGCTGGTAAGACCTGCACGCCTCACCCCTGTCCACCTCGGAGGCAGGGGTGGGCTCCTGCCTGCTGGCTGCCCTGGGCCTGCCCCAGACCATTTCCCACAGTCCCACTCCTTGGTCCTGGGCCACATGGCTCCAGGACATGGAGCTCTCATTTGACAGCACCCCCTTCCATTCAAAGCTTCCTCAGGGCCTGACCCCCAAACCTCAGGCCCCTAAGGACTTTGTGTCCTGAGGCGGAGGGTGCTGATAGAAGCTTGCACCTCCTTTCCAGACCCTAGTCAGAAGAAAGGGGCCTAAAACAGGAGAGACTTCAGCCAGATATTCTTCCAGACCCCCGGAAGAATAACATTTATTGAGCCCTTACTATGTACCCCAAGCTGTGATCAACATTTCACACAGATTACACACTCAGACTTCATGACAGCCACGTGATGTGGATGCTGTGCTATTATCTCCATTTCTCAGATGAACAAACTGAGGCCCGGAGACCTAGATATTAAAAGGGTCAAAGTAGTCCCATGCCGTCCTGGCAAGGTAGTACCAAGGCCTTCCATGTGGGCGTCTCTGGTATCAATAAACAGAAGCTTTATCGAGACCCTCCAGCCTTGCTCTGGACCCCCTGGACACCCACGCGGAGCCCTTGAGGGCTTAGCCATCAGGGAAAGCTTGCAGGAAAGGAAGCCAGTAGTAAAACCAACCTCTAGCAGTATAACTTACGGAGCATCTACTGCGAGGCACTGTGCTAACCCTTTCAAGTATAGTGTCTTGAAACTTCCCACAACAGGGCGAGGTAGGTTCTCTTACTATCCCCACTTTCCAGAGGAGGACATCGAAGCACAGTGAGGTCGAGGGGCTTGCTGGAGCTGGGGTGGGTGGAACTGGGGCTCAAACCCAGCTGACTCCAAAGGCGTGCCCTCAACCAGTGGTCAAAGGCATGCGGATAGCACCCTACAGTTTGCAGAGCAGTTACACATCTGCCATCTCAGGTTCATCTCACTCAGCCTTTGTCCACCCATTGCCTTTGCCTCGCCTCAAATCTTCCCAGAGAGCATGAGATTTGAAGCCAGAGGGGCTGAATTACAGCCCTGGCCATGCTCCTTATTGCTCTGTGAGTTTCAGCAAGTCACTTAGCTGTTCAGTTTCTCCATCTGTACAATGGAGAGAGAACAATCTCAACCTGGCTCAGAGTGATGCGGAGTAAATGAGTCAATTCACCCGAAGGCCTTAGAATGGCTCCTGGCACAAAGTAAGTGCTCAATAAATGCAGCCCTCTTTTGAAATATTATGGGTAGAACTGGGATGTCCCAGGGGCAGCCTGAACTCAGCTTTTCCGTTGTGCCTGCAGCCCACAGTGAGCGGAAGATGCCCCCTTACAGCAACTACCATGCCCAGCGCTCCTACCCCATGCCTGATGAGCCCTTCTGCACAGAGCTCAACGCTGAGCAGCAGGCCCTGAAGGAGAAGGAGAAGGGCAACTGGACCCAGCTGAGCCATGCCGAGAAGGTGGCCTGTAGGTGTCAGGGTGGGGCTGGCTGGGGAGAGTGGGCTGGGGGGTGACTTTGAAAAGAAGGGCCTCCACCCAGGGCACCTGTGTGGCTCAGTCAGTTAAGTGTCAGACTCTGGTTTTGGCTCAGGTCATGACCTCTCATGCTGCATCTGCTTGAGATTCTCTCTCCCTCTCTCTCCCCCTCTGTCCCTCCTCCACCTCTCTCTAAAATAAAAATAAAAATAAAAATAAATAAAACTTAAAAAAAAAAGAAGGGCCCCCACCCAAGACACCAGAAATCCCCAAACACCTGAATGCATACCTGAGGGGTGAAGTTCATCATTTGTTCATTTATTATTCAGTCAGCTGTTTGTGCACAGCCAGATCCTAGGTGATGCTGGGGACATAGGAGTGAATCACCTTGATGGTTCTTGCCTTGGCCTGGTGCTCCCAGGTCAATGGGAGAGCTGACACAAACCTGGATAACCGTAATACAGGCTGTGTGGCTAGGATGAGGTGTGTCCAAGGGGTTGTGAGGACCCAAAGGAGAGAGAGAGAGAGAGAGAATCCTGGTGGGCCTCCCAGAGGGGGGCATGTCCTGGCTGGCCTTGAATGGTGAGGAGGAGGGTGTTGCCTGGCAGTGGGAACAGCGTGGGGAGGGATATGGAAGCAGGAGAGCATGGAGCATCCTGGGTATCACTGAGTGGTGTGGGGAGATGGAGCAGAAAGGCAGGTAAGGTGGGTCGGGGGGAAGGACCTGACCCTGAGAAACAGGAGGGATGTGTCCTGCCCACCAGACGTGCCCCTAAACGACTCTGATATTTGGAGCCTGCTCCTGGCCATGCTTTGCATACGGTAGATGCTCAATAAGAATTTGCTGAATGGACAGCATCTGCTGCAAGAGTGGGGAGGCTGGGGATTCCTGAGGCCAAGACTTGGCCCAGGGTTCTTGGAAGGGATACATGCAAGGCCCCTCCTTCCCCACCCCTCCTCTCCCTCCAGTGTACCGCCTCCAGTTCCATGAGACCTTTGCAGAGATGAACCGTTGCTCCAATGAGTGGAAGACAGTGATGGGCTGTGTCTTCTTCTTTTTTGGATTCACAGCTCTGCTGATTTGGTGGCAGCGGGTCTATGGTGAGTGGCAACCCCTCACCTTGCTGCAGGCCTGGGCTGTGCCCTTGGGGTCAGAGCCACCAGCCCAGCTCTTACAGGGCAACTATGCTGGCACTCATCTGCAGAGTTTTGAAAAGTCCCCCAAAGAGGTGTAGGGTGAAGGGCAGATCATGGCTGCCTGGGTTGGGATGTCGAAGCTCTACCCCTCTGGGCCTCAATTCCTTCATCTGTAAAACGAAAATAATAGTGCCCACATCACGGGGTTCTTGTGAGGATTTAATGGCTGTAAGCCAGTGCCTGGCACATAATCATGAATGGTGCTGTTACTGATTGCTGTTATTAACCATTAATTTTTCTGTAACAGAGAGTCTCCAACATACAAGAGCTTAAACAAGATACAGGTTTTGTTCCTCTCACAAAAAAGGCCAGGGAGAGTATGGAGACTCTGCAACGTCAGGCTCCTTCTGTGGTGTTGCACTGCCGTCCTCCACATGTGCTTCCTTCTTGCCATCCAAGATGGCCGCTCCAGCCCCAGCCAAGCAAGCCTACGTTCCAGCCAAGAACAGGGAAAGGGATGCACTCCTCTTTAAGGTCCAGAAGTTGCACACGTGCAACCTGCTCACCTCCTGTTGGCTAGAAATGATCACATGACCATGTCTAGCCACAAGGGAAGTTGGGAAATGTAGTTTTTAGCTAGCTGGTCACATGCCCAGCTAACAGCTTATGACTACAGAAGAGGGATTCTCAAAGTGTGGTCCCTGGACCAACATCATCATTTGGGAACTTTTAGAAATGCAGATTCTCAGCCCCAGTCTGGATCTACCAAGTCAGACACTTTGAGGGTGAAGCCCAGCCATCTGTGTTTTAACAAGCTCTCCAAGTCATTCTGATGCCCACTTAGCTCTAAGAAGCACTGCTCCGGAAGCAGGGGAGGGGCTGTTGGGGAAGGGCTGACAGTTTGTGCCCCAGCTCTTCACCTCCAACGGCCTCACCTTTCTTCTTCTGTAAGATTGTGATGGGAATTCCCACCTTCATGAGGATGAAATGAGGATGAATTCTAGTCTAGCCCAGTGTTTGGTGCTTATGGGTGCCATAAAGATCTTTTACATCTTTCCCACCCACGGGGCTAGAAAGTTCCAGTGAGGAGGTGAGACAGGCTGAGTCAGCCTCAGGGGCAGATGGACCAGGAGGTAAGGTCTGAGCAGTGTAGGGAGCTCCACCTTCCCTGATGCACACATCAAGGCACCTAGAATGCCTCTTGAGTGCCTCAGCCTTTTAGTTAAGTACTGCCCTCCCCAGATTTCTAAAGTGAACGCCCCTTCCTCGCCTCCTACCTCCAACCCCCTTAGGAAGCAAAAGGGCTCTTCCCAGTCAGTGGGAGCAAACCTAGTAATTATAATCACTACCATATATTATGTACTTAATATCTGTCCCACATTGTACCAGTTGCTTTATACATACTAACTCATCCAATCCCCACAGCTGTAGGAGATAGGACCTGTTTTTGACAGGGAAGGAAACTGAGGCTCAGAGAGATGAAGTGACTTGTTCAAGGCCACACAGCAAGGTGGGGGTGGAGCTGGGATTTGGATCCATTCCACTGGGCCATAAAGTAAGGAAGCAGGCTGAGAAAGGGGAAGGACCTTGGCCCAATTCCCACAGTGAGTCTAAGGCAGAGCTGGGACCAGAGGTCCCAGGAATGAAGCTTTAGCAGGGAGTCTGGTGGGGGGACAGACAGGGTGGAAGGGGTGTCCTAACCCTGTGACTGGAGACCCTGGCTCAGGGGGACAGGGTGGAAGACTTGCAGGGTCCTGAGCCACCCCGTCCCCACCCCATGCCTTACCTGCAGTGTTCCCGAAGAAGCCCATCACCCTGACGGATGAGTGGAAGACCCAGCAGCTCCAGCGCATCCTGGATATGAAGGGCAACCCTGTGCAAGGCCTGGCCTCCCGGTGGGACTATGAGAAGAAGGAATGGAAGAAGTGACGTGGCATCCGGGCTGCCCTCCCTGCAGTTCCACCCCGGCCTAGAGCCTACGGAGGGCCCTTTCCTCTTCTTAACGCCAATAAAACTGGCCTGTTCTCTTCTGTCTTCAATCTCCACCTCAGTCTTTACCTGCCACAAACCCTACAGTATACCTAAGATTGAGTACTGTGGTGAAGGAAGGGCAGGAATAAGCCACTTTCCAGGGGCCCAGAGCCCAGCCAATCAGGGAGGGCTTCCTGGAGGAATAGGGGCTAGGTTTTAGTTTTAAGGGATATGTGGCATTAGGAAAGGGAGGAAGGAGAAGGGAAGGTATTCCAGGTGGAGGGAGTGGCTTGAGCAAAGGCAAAGACATTCCTTTATTCAGTCAATTATTAACAAATATTTGTTGAGCACCTACTGTATGCCAGGTACTAATCCAGGCCATGGGGATGCGGCAGTGAATAAGATAGTCTCTGGCCCCATAGAGGAGGCATTCTTTTATGGAGGGAGACAGAGAAATGAATATGTGATGAGTGCTGTAAAGGAGCAAAACAAAGCAGGATAAAGGGACAGAGTTAAGGGGCGTCTGGGTGGCTCAGGTCATGACCTCAGGGTCGTGGGATCGAAACCTGTGTTGGGCTCCATGTTCAGCTCCAGACACCAGTTGGGTGTATGAAAATTCAACTCAATTCTGACACGCACTTCAAAAATAGCATCAGCTACCACAGGTTAAGGGTTCAGTCCTACAGGAAGCCCTGCCCCCGACTTTTAGACACCAGTCCCCAGCCCAGGTTACCTGTGCTTCCAACCGACTGGCTAGAAATCAAAGGATCCCACAATCCCCTCCTTGGGTTTGATTAGTTTACCAGCACAGCTCACAGAACTCAGGAAGCCCGTTTACTCACTGGATTACCAGTTTCTTATAAAAGGACAGAACTCAGGAATAGCCAGATGGAAGAGATGCAGAGGGCAAGGCACTGGGAAAGGCACGGAGCTGCCGTGTCCCGTCCAGGCACTGTTCTCCCCCCATCTCCAGGTGTTCACCAACCCAGCAGCTCTCCGAAAAACCTGTCCTTCTGGAGTTTTATGGAGGATTTCATTACAGAGCCATGATTGATTAAATCATTGGCCATTGGGGAATGATTCAACCTCCAGCCCCCCTCTCTCCCCGGAGGTGGGGTGGGTGTGGGGGTGGGGATTGAAAGTTCAACCCTCTAATCACATGGTTTGTTCTCTGGGCAATCCTTAGGTGGGGTTCAAAAGTCACCTCGTTAACATAAGAAGAGACACCTTCCTTGCTCTCATTACTTAGCAAATTCCAAGGGTTTTAGGAACTCTGTGCCAGAAACTGGACTAAGATCAAATATATATATTTCTTATTATAAATCACACTATCACAGGCTGCCATAACAAAATACCACAGGCTGAGTGGCTTAAACAACAGAAATGTATTTTCTCACAGTTCTGGAGGCTAGAAGTCCAAGATCAAGGTGTTGGCAGGATTGGTTGCTTCTGATGTCTCTTGTCTTTGGCTTGCAAATAGCCACCTTCTTGCCATGTCCTCACATGTACTTTCCTCTGTGCATGCGCATCCCTGGTGTCTCTCGGTATGTCCAGATTGCCTCTGCTTATAAACACGCCAGTCCGAGTGGGTTAGGGCCTTTCCTTTCATTTTAACTTCATCGCCTCTTTATTTTTATTTTTATTTTTTTAAAGATTTTATTTATTTGTCAGAGAGAGCACGGGCGAGAGAGAGTGAGCGGGAGTACAAGCAGGGGGAGAAGCAGGCTCCCCGCTGAGCAAGGAGCCCGATGCGGGACTCGATCCCAGAGCACTGGGATCATGACCCGAGCCGAAGGCAGCCACCCAACCGACTGAGCCACCCAGGTGTCCCTTCATCGCCTCTTTAAAGACCCTACCCTAAGACCCACAACATGCTGAGGTATTGGAGGTTAGGACTTCAACGTATGAATTTGCAGGAAACATGACTCAGCCCGTAACAGTTGGGTTCAAAATTATTCCATGTGTCTCCTTGTTCTGGGAGCAGTGGGCACCCAGGGCATTTTCTTCTCTTGGCAGAAGTCAGAGACTGCCGAGGGGGCATGGGGATGATTAGGGACCCAGGATCCTCTTAAAGCCCAGGCTCAGAATGAGCACACACAGAATCGGCACCACATTCCACTGGTCAAAGCCGGTCCTATGGTGTTCCAGTTACTATTGCTACATTACAAACTACCCCAAAACTTAGTGGCATAAAACAGCCATTTTCTTATGCTCGCCAATTCCGTAGGTCAGGAATTCAGTCATTACTGTTTGCTTCTGTTCTAGAATGTTTGAGGTCTCAGCTGGAAACACTCAAAAGGCAGTGGCCAGAATCTTCTGGAGGTGTTTTCACTCTGGTGGTTGATGCTGGCTGTCAGCTGGCTGAGCCTGACAGCTCAGTCAGAGCTGTCAACCGGACATCCTTCTTTTGTGGCATCCCCAGGTGGTCTCTCTGTGTGGGCTAGTTTGTATTCCCTCAAAGCATGTTGGGTGGGTTCCAAGAGTGAGAATTCCGAGAGAACAAGAAAAAAGTGTATTGCATTTTTATGATCTAGCCTCAGAAGACACATAGCATCCCTTCTGCTGAACCCTGTTGGTTAAGGCACTCACCAAGTTCCACCTACGTTCACGAGGGAGAGGACATAGACTTTCCTGCTTGATGTCACAATGCGAGGTGTAAGATGCATATGAGATGGGAGATATCGTTGTGGTCATCTTTGGAAAATATAGTCTTCCCACCCACAGCCAAGCCCAACATCAATAGGCAGAGAAATATCCTCCATCAGATTACTCATGGTGAGTGTGGAGTAGGGAGAAAGGCAGAATTGTGAGCAAATACTACATCCTATCACTGATGGTGTAGAAACAACCAACACAAAATTATGTTGATAGAAGCTAAAACTGACCACATTTAATCAGTTGATATACTAAAATTCAAACAGATAATAACATTTTGACGTTTAGATAATCAAATTTGACCTGAAAAATCAGACCAAACGGAAATAATGGACAATAGCAGATAATGCACAATGGCAGAAAACCAGTGAAATCAGATGTGGATAAACAAGAGTGAGCGAAGAATCACATCCTCATGGTGGCATTCACTCCATGAAGTCAGGTTGATTGCAATGAAAAAATAATTTTGTAAAATTAAATTTATAATAGCAAACATTAGAAAGAATTTAACTTTGGTCATAAAATAACTGATTGAGGAATAAAATTGACTTCATGCAGCTTGCTCAAAAAGGGCTTTCTTAAAAAAAAAAAAGCACTTTATTGCTCTATTAGAATTAGTGTAATTCTGGGGCACCTGGCCCGGTCAGTGGACCATGTGACTCTTGATCTTGGAGTTTAAATTCGAGCCCCACGTTAGGTGTAGATATTACTTAAAAATAAAATATATATATTTTTAGATTTATTTACTTATTTTATTATTTATTATTATTTTTTAAAGATTTTATTTATTTATTTGACAGAGAGAGACACAGCGAGAGAGGGAACACAAGCAGGGGGAGTGGGAGAGGGAGAAGCAGGCTTCCCGCTGAGCAGGGAGCCCGATGTGGGGCTCGATCCCTGGACCTGGGATCATGACTTGAGCCGAAGGCAGACGCTTAACGACTGAGCCACCCAGGCGCCCCTATTTATTTATTTTAGAGAGAGAGTGCCTGAGTGTGGGGAGGAGCAGAGGGAGAGAGAGAATCCCAAGCAGACTCCCCACTGAGCATGGAGCCCAACTCGGGGGCTCAATCTCACAACCCTGAGATCATGACCGGAGCCGAAATCAAGAGTCAGATGCTCAACCAAGTGAGCCACCCAGGCACCCCCTAAAAATAAAATCTTTAAGAAAAAAAAAAAAAAGAACTAGTGTAATTCCGATAAAAATATTTGGATTCAAAACTCACAGTCAAGGGGCGCCTGGGTGGCTCAGTCGTTAAGCGTCTTCCTTCGGCTCAGGTCATGATCCCAGAGACCTGGGATCGAGCCCCGCATCGGGCTCCCTGCTCCGCGGGAAGCCTGCTTCTCCCTCTCCCACTCCCCCTGCTTGTGTTCCCTCTCTCGCTGTGTCTCTCTCTGTCAAATTAATAAACAAAATCTTAAAAAAAAACCAAAAAAACCCCCTCACAGTCAAAATAGTCTTAGGATAAACACATCCATGAGGTCAAAACATTTGGGTCAAAACGTCCTGTAATAGTAAAGTTCTCTGTAAAAAAAAAAAAAGAGAAAGAAACTGAAAAGGAACTAAAAAGGTGAAGAAGGACTGGTTTCCTTAATATGCTAAGCAAAACAAAACAAAACCAACAACCTAACAAATCAGTAAGAAAAAGATAAATGCACTAGAAAGTGTTGCAAAAGTCATGACCAGGAAGATTACAGACAAAGAAAAAGGTGTCCTGGGGCACCTGGGTGGCTCAGCTGGATTGTGTCTTCCTTCAGCTCAGGTCATGATCCCAGGGTTCTGGGATTGAGCTCCACATCAGGCTCCCAGCTCGGCGGGGGGCAGGAGGGGGGTCTGCTTCTCCCTCTCCCTCTGCCTCTCCCCCTGCTTGTGCTCTTGCTCTCGTGAATAACTAAAATCTTAAAAAAAGAAAAAAGTGTCCTCCAAAGTTCTTTTTTTTTTAAAGATTTTATTTATTTATTTGACAGAGAGAGACAGCGAGAGCAGGAACCGAAGCAGGGGGAGGGAATTGTTTATTTTTAATTTATTTTAATTTATTTATTTATATTTTTTAAGTTTTGTTTTTTTATAGGGGGAGAGAGAGAGAGAGAATGCAAGAGTGCATGCGCACGAGGTGGTGGTGTTGGGGTAGAGGGAAAGGGAGAATCTTAAGCAGGCTCCATGCCCAGTGTGGAGCTGGACACAGGGCTCAGTCTCACAGCCCTGAGATCATGACCCGTGCTGAAATCAAGAGTCGGACGCTTAACCAACTGAGTCAACCAGGTGCCCCTAAGATTTTATTTTAAAGTAATCTCTGAATCCAATGTGGCGCTTGAACTTACAACCAGGAGATCAAGAGTCGCACATTCTACCGACTAAGCCAGACAGACATCCCACCCCAGAATTATTTTAAATAACTCATGTCA